GACACCCGGGGACGGGCTCTGCCCCGCCGGGATGCTCAGGAGCATGTCAAGAAACAGCCACCGTCATTCTGAACTACGAAACGGGGACAGCGGGACGGCTCCCTGCATCGGGCAGAGGGGAAGGTGTCATGAAGTGCTGCCATTCTCAGCGGGCTCCTGCCCCTCTTCCCATCCCTTGCAGCGGAGCAAGGATGCCGAGAAGAGGCAGCAGGGTACCGGGGAGGGCTTTGGGAGTGGTCCAAAGCCTTCTTGGCGATGGCAAAGAGCTTTGCTCCCCGAGATGCAGCCCAAGGGGAGCTTGTGGCTATCAAAATGCCATCAGACAGGGCGGAGGGTACCTGCAGGTGCGTGCAGACTCTCCTCAGGACGTCGTAGACGCTGTCGCGTGAGATGAGGGACACGAAGATGTACTGCAAGAGAAAGAGAGAAGCTGCCAGGAGAGATTCCCCTGCATCGCAAGTCCAGTTCCCCACAGGCAGGGGACAGACAGAGACGTTCTGCCCTTGAATCTCCCCTCCTTCGGGAGCCGCGTCCCGCCTGCAGGCATCTCCCTGCGGAGTTTCCCTACTGCTATTTTTGCAGCCTGATAAAACCTGGACCAGATTTTTTGGGGCCGGTTTCGCTCGGCTGCTGTCCCCATGGAGCCTCCCGTGCTCAGGACAGAGGTTTGCGGCAGCAAACGAGGCCAGGGGCAACTGAAAACGTCCCCAAGGAGCAGCACGAGGGGACACGGGGCAGCACTCATCTTGCCCGATGCAGAGCCCACGCGATGTGCAGAGCAGCCTTGCAGCCAGATCGCTTTGAACACCTAAATCCTGCCTTGTCACACCCCCTGCTAAAATCCCGCAGGAATAACCCCCTCCCAAAATCCCACAGGAATAACCCCCTCCCAAAATCCCGCAGGAATAACCCCCTCCCTGGGAGGGAATGAGCAGCACACGCTGCCACGAGCAGCACCCAGGCAGGCGAGGACTCGGACGCACCGAGCAGGACATCAGCTCACTGCGGCCGACAACACCCAACATGATTTAAAAGCTGGAAATTCAGCCCCTTAACCAAGTTTTCCGCCAACTCGGGTTGACCACCAGCCCAAAACCTTCCCCTGCTTGCGTTTAAGGAGTTTAAAGGTTTTATTTGAGCCTGGCAGGGATTTGTCAGGCTCGGCTGAATTTCACTTGGGCTTTGCTTCACCCAGAAACAAAGTGAAATTCAGAAACAAAAGCAAAGCCGCGGTGTTTGCCCTGGCTGGCTGCCAGCATGGAGAGCAGTGCTCACTTCCCAACCGGCCCGCGCTTTCAGCCGGGGATGGGAATCGCTTCGTTCCCTGCTCTCAAACCACAGCCAGCTCGGACCAGGGCATCCCCAGCTGCGGTGAGGCCGGGTACCGATGCTCAAAGCGCCGGTGTTACCTTTCTGCTGGCGTTGGTGGTGATGGCCAAGCCGTTGGGCAGCAGCCGAGCTGTCTTGTGCTTTTTTATCAGCTGTACGGAGACCACCGGGATCACAACCTGGAGGGCAAAAAGACAGGGGGACGGGCAGGGACGGGCACGGCGCGAGCTCAGGGAGTTTCTTTTGCAAGGCGGAGATTTAATACGCATCGTAATTATGCCCCAAGCAGAGCGGCCACGCGGGGATTCGGCATTTCCCAGAGACAGCTTGTTTTTTATTACAGGTCACGGCATCCCCCCCGCATTAATCTCGGCTCGGAGGTGGTTTCTACTCGATCAAAACAGTGAGGACGCGGGGGAAGCATCGTACAGTCAGTCTTCCTAAGACCCATCACGAGAGCCCCGGGAGGGTTAAAAACAAGGCAGGATGTAATT